GCCTCCCAAGTAGCTGGGACCACAGGCGCCCGCCAGAACTCCTGGCTATTTTTTTGGTTGCAGCCGTCGTCGTTTGGCAGGTCTGGGCTGGGGATTCGAACCCGCCACCTTAGGTGTACGTGGCTGGCGCCTTAGCCGGTTGAGCTATAGACGCCGAGCCAGTATTTCCTTTTCATAGCATTCATGCCAACATGTATTGTTTTTGACTGTTCAACAATGGCCATTATAGTTGGAGTAAGATGGTATCTCATTATGGTTTTAATTTGTGTTGTCCAGATGATTAGTGGTGTTCAGCATACTTTCACATGTTTGTTGGCCATTAAATATCTTCTTTTGAAAAATGTCTGTTCATATGCATTTATTTGCCCACATAGTAAGGATGCATGTTGTTTAGCTTTTTTCTTGCAGAGTTGAGTTCCATGTAGATTCTTGATATTTATTAGTCCTTTGTTGGACATAGTTTAGGGATATTTTCTCCCATTTTGTAGGTTGTCTAGTGTTTTATTTCTTATGCAGAAGTTTTTAGTTACGTCTCATTTGTTAGAAATTTTTCATGAATTTGTTTTGACGATTTTTTTTATTTTTGCAGTTTTTGGCCAGGGCTGGGTTTGAACCTACCACCTCTGGCATATGGGGCCAGTACCCTACTCCTTTGAGCCACAGGCACCACCCTGTTTTGGGGGTGTTAGTCATGAATTCTTAAGCCAATGTCCAAAACCTTTTCCTAGGCTTTCTTCTAGGATTTTTGTTTCAAGTCTTACATTTAAGACATTAATCTGGCTCGGCACCTGTGGCACCTAAGGCACCAGCCACATACATCTAAGGTAGCAGGTTCAGATCCAGCCTGGGCCTGCCAAAACAACAATGACGGCTGCAACCAAAAAATTGCCAGGCATTGTGGCAGGCACCAATGGTCCCAGCTACTTGGGAGGCTGAGGCAGGAGGCTCGCTTGAGCCCAGGAGTTGGAGTTTGCTGTGAGCTGTGATGCTACGGCACTCTACCCAGGGGGACAGCTTGAGGCTCTGTCTCAAAAAAAAAAAAAAAAAAGATATTAATCCATCATGAGTTAATTTTTGTATAGTGTGAGAGATAGGGACTCAGTTTCCTTCTTCTGCATATGGCTATTCAAGTTTCCTAGCATCATTTATTGAGAAGAATGTCCTTTTCTCAGTGTCAACTTTGTCAAAGATCAGTTGGCTTTAAGTATATGGCTTTGTTCCTGGGTTCTATATTCTGTTCCATTGATCTGTGTATCTCTATCTATTTTTATACCAGTAGCATGCTGTTTTGGGTTACTATAGCCGCCTAGTAATAATTTGAAGTCAAGCCATGTGATTCAGGCAGTTTTGCTTAGGAATGCTGTGGCTATTCAGGCTCTTTTCTGTTTGTTTGTTTTATCTTTTTTTTTTTTTTAAATAGTGTCACTTTGTTGCCCTTGGTAGAGTGCTATAGTGTCATGACTCACAGCAGCCTCAAACTCCTGGGTTCAAGTGATCCTCCTACTTTAGCCTCCAGAGTGGCTGGGAATACAGGCACTTGCCACAACACTCAGCTTATTTTTTCTACTTTTAGTATTGAAGAGGTCTCCCTCTTACTCAGACAGGTCTTCAACTCCTGAGTTCAAGGTATTCTCCTGCCTTGGCCTCCCAGAATACTTGCATTACAAGTGTAAGCCACATGCCTGGCCTCAAAAGGTGTTTTTTAAAGTTAAGGGTTGGTGCCTGTAGCTCAGTGGTTAGGGTGCCTGCCACATACACCTAGGCTGGTGGGTTTAAGCCCAGCCCCGGCCTGCTAATCAACAATGACAATTACAACAACAAAAAATAGCTGGGCATTGTGGCGGGTGCCTATAGTTCCAGCTACTTGGGAGGCTGAGGCAAGAGAATCTCTTGAGCCCAAGAGTTTGAGATTGCTGTGAGATTGCTTGTGATGCCATAGCACTCTACCGAGGGTGACATAGTGAGACTCTGTCTCAAAAGGAAAAAAAAAGTTAAGCTTAGTTATATACATTTTTTCACCCCTGTAATCCTAAACACTTTGGAAGGCTGAGGTGGGAGGATCACTTGAGGCCAGCAGTGAGACCAGTTGAGGAAAATAGCTAAATCCCAGGGCTGCAGTTAACAATGATTGTGCCACTGCCCTCTAGCCCAGGCAACAGAGCAAGACCCTGTTTCAAAGAATAAATAAAGAAAAATAAAGTTAAGATTATAAAAATGAGAGATTGACAAACTGTGGCCATGCCAATTTTTATAAATAAAGTTTTATTGGACCACAGCCTTACTCATTTATGTAGTATCTTTGGCTGATTTCATACTGCAACAGCAGAGTTGAAGGCTGACCATATGGACCCCAACAGCCTAAAATGTTTACTCTCTGGCCCTTAAATAGGCTTAGGAAATAGGGTCAGGTGTGGTAGCTCACACCTGTAATCCCTAGCACTTTGAGAGTCCAAGGCAGGAGGATTTGTTCAGGTCAGGAGTTCAAGACCAGCCTGAGCAATATGATAAGACTACCATCTCTACAACCAAATGGAAAAACAAAAAAATCAACCAGGTGTAGCAGTGCATGGCTATTGTCCTAGCTTTGTGGGAGGCTGAGATAGGAGGTTTGCTTAAACCCAGAGGTTATAGTGAGCTATGAGCACTGTATCCTGAGCAACCAGAGTAAGACCCCATCTCAAAAAAGAAATAAGCTTAGGAAATAAAACCTTCCCAAAATTATATCCTTTAATAGTTTGATGTTTCCTTATCTTTTAAAGGACAGCATTGCTAGTACCATCTTTCCTTTCTGTAGTTATTATTTATATTAAAGCATCCTGAAATTATATTTAATTCACATATTAACATAATATAAATTGTTCTTTATTTTATAGGAAGATGAAAAATTTCTGACAGATTTGTTTGCACAACTAACAGATGAAGCAACAGATGAAGAAAAAAGACAGGAATTGGTAAGAAGTTAGATATAAGGAAAGGCATAAAAATTAAATGATGGACTGTATTTCACTTATTCTTTTTCCTAATTTCAGGTTAACTTTTTAAAAGAATTTTGTGCGTTTTCCCAAACGCTACAACCTCAAAACAGAGATGCGTTTTTCAAGACTTTATCAAACATGGGCATCTTACCAGCTTTAGAAGTCATCCTCGTAAGTTTGTTTCTCCTCATTTTTAATTACTTTTTTTTTTAATCATAAAAATTGTATTTTATGTAACAGACAGTACCTTATAGCTAACATTTAATATTAGCTATGTATTACTTTAAGTTACAAAAGTTATGAGGGTGGCGCCTGTGGCTCAAGGAGTAGGGTGCTGGCCCCATATGCCAGAGGTGGTGGGTTCAAACCCCAGCCCTGGCCAAAAAAAAAAAAAAAAAAAAGCTATGAAATTCCTGGTTTAGAGTTTTCACACAGTATTGAAAGGATTTCTTTTCTTTTTTTTTTTTTTGAGGCAGAGTCTCAAGCTGTTGCCCTGGGTAGTGTGCTATGGTGTCATAACTTACAACAACATCCAACTTGGGCTCAAGGAATCCTCCTGCTTCAGTTTTTTTCTATTTTTAGTAGAGCTAGGGTGTCACCTTTGTTCAGACTAGTCTCAAACTCTTGAGCTTAAGCAATCCACCTGCCTTGGCTTCCCAGAGTGCTAGGATTACAGGTGTGAGCCACCCACCCAGCAGTATTGAAAGGATTGATAAGTTAGAGGAATTTTCTGTATTTTTAATAAGTTCTTTATAGTGTTTTCGATGAAATATTAAAATCGAAAGGCTGGGTGCAGTGGCTCACACCTGTTATCTATCCTAACACTTTGGGTGGCCAAGGAAAACTAAGGGCAGAAGTCTGAGACTAGCCCAGGCAACAAAATAAGACTCTGTCTCTACAAAAAATAAAAAATTTACTTTTTTTTTTTTTTTAAACAGAGTCTCACTGTGTTGCCCTCAGAGTGCCATGGCATCACATCTCACAGCTACCTCAAACTCTTGGGCTTAAGCAATTCTCTTGCCTCAGCCTCCCAAGTAGCTGGGACTACAGGCACCCACCACAATGCCTGCCTATTTTTTTGATGCAGTTATCATTATTGTTTAGCTGGCCTGGACCAGGTTCAAACCTGTCAACCTCAGTGTATGTGGCTGGTTTTTATGGCCAAGCCATAAAAACTTTCTTTAGGGCTCGGCGCCTGTGGCTCAAGCAGCTAAGGCGCCAGCCACATACACCTAAGGTGGCGGGTTCGAATCCAGCCCGAACGCACCAAACAACAATAATGGCTGCAACCAAAAAATAGCTAGGCATTGTGGCGGGCGCCTGTGG